TGAGATGAATTCCAGCAAGTTAGAGAGGAGAGCCTGGGAAGCCTGCCCCTTTCGGAGGGACCCAGACAGCCCAGCCAACCTCAAGGCCAATGCTGGGTGAGCTGCCACCAGGAGGGAGTCAGCCTGGTAGTGTCCAATTTTAAGCAATTATTTTTGCTAACTCGGAGTTCGGCTCCGTTGCTTTGCTGAAGAAATGCAAATGTCAAAGTGCAAATGTAGCAGCTTTTAAAATTGTGAAATCTTCAAAAATAATTCTTTTAATTTTTTCCCCTTCTCCACTCCAGTGTCTTGGAGCAAAGCCTCATGGCCCCACCCTAGTTACAGACTGGTTGTCTTTGCCACTGCACACACCTTTATCTCTCCAACACAAAAACAGGGGGCCTTCCTGCCCTCCTTCCTCTCTATCATCACACAGAATGCTCTCTCCTTTACACTCAGCTTGTCTGTACTCCATCCTACCCCCAAGGCCAGCCTCAATTTCTCCTCCTCTTCAATGCCTTCCATGACCATCCCAGACCACAGAGATATTGTCTTTCTCTAAGACTTAATCCCTGAACAGCCATACACTTGGCCCTAGACAAACACTGCCTGGTCTGACTCTCCCAGACTAAACTGGTAAGCTCCCTGCAGGTAGGGAAGAGCAGGAATTGTTCAGGGAGTAAGGAGAAAAGCACACATATGTGTGGCCAAAGAGCTGGGCTTGGAGATGCCACGTGAAAGGTTGGGCCTTCAACAAACAACAGAAGGTAGAGACCGCCGTATGTACATGCCTGTGCACAGCCAACGGGGAAGGCCAGATGCTCACACACGTCACCCTCTGGTCTCTCCCAGGTGACATCCTACAATTCCTGAGCACAAATTACTTTCTGGGGACCCCCATGGAGGGAAAATGCCATTATCTTCTTTCCAGGACCTTCCCTTCGTCTCATTCCTCCTTTATCTCTCTTCTCCCTCTGCCATCTCTCTCTCTCTCTCATTTTCTCTCTATCCCATTTTCTTTCTCTCCCCCCTCTCTCTTCTTCTTTCTCCCTGTCCCTGTCTCTCCTCCCTCTCATTCTCTCTCCTCCCTTTCTCTCTCTCCCCTCTCCTTTCTCCCTCTTCTCTCTCTTTTCCTCTTTCTCCTTATCTCTCCTCCCTCTCCCTCTTTCTCCCTTTCTTCCTCTTTCTCCTTTCCTTTCTCACCACCCCCCTCCTCTCCTCTTCTGGGGCTGCTTTCTCCCTGACTCAGCAAGGTGCTCTATAAGGTGCTGAGGGGGCTCAGGCAAACCCAAACCACATTGCCTGCAAACTCCCAGCATGAGAAGAAAGCCTGAAAACTCAGCAGAGGGAGGCTGAGAGTAGAGCTAAGCAGGTCTTCTTCCTTCTCCCCCCACCCCCACCCCCTGGGCACCTCCCAGGGGTTCTTCCTGGACAGCCAGGACCCAGGGCCCTTAGCGCCCGTCAGCCCTCTTGGCATTTGCCTCCTTGGCCCCAGCAAGGACAACAGGAGGCTGCCCAGCCCAGGTGGGGTCAGAAGGCTGGGAAGTGGGGGCTCTTTCCATTCTCCCTCGGAGACAAGCTTAATCACAACCGCTAATTGGTGTCCCTGGAAAGCTTGCTGCCCCCAGCCCCAGGCCAGCCCTTTCTCTCCTTGTTTAGAAAAAAGAGAGCAAAAAATCCAACAACAAAGTCTGTCCCACTCCAGTGAGGTAATTGGAAACAAACTTCCCCCCCTCCCCAGCCCTTACCCTGCAGAAAAGGGAAGAACAGTCCTGAGAAAGCAGCAGTGGCCTGCAAACATGTCCTGTCCCAGCCTGGGCTGGGCTGGCCGTGGGGAGCTGTGGGGCTTCTGGCCTCAGCTCCCTTGGGTGGGCCCTAGCTCCTCTGGGAGGAGATCTCAGAATCTATTCCTGAGAGGGGGTCCTGTTTCCCCAAGTTGGCCTCCAGCTGCAGCTCTGCTATCCCACACTCCCCCCCCCAGCTCAGAACAAAACAATTTCACAGGCCCTTGGCTCTGAGGCATTACTGTCTTAAGGACCAAATGACCCTCCCTGGCAGCTAGTGATTACCATGCATCTCATAGGTGCCAGGTTCTGTGCTTCCAAAGGCTCTGAGGAGCTACAGGGACTGGCTGGGGGCTCCTCCTGGGTTCTCCTTTTAAAGCCTTTGGAAAGAGGGTGACAGGAAGGAGAGAGACAGAGACACAGAGAGACTGACAGAGACAGAGACAGAGACAGAGACAGAGACACACAGGGCCTCCAGAGAGGGACTCTAGGCTTATGGGCCCCCTAGGTCTCTAGCTCATCCTATCTCCTGACCACAGAAGGAAGAGAGCTGGCAGTGAAAGCCACTCCTCCTCTCCCCCCAAACAACACCCCAAACCCCAGAGGAAGGAGGCTGCCAAATGTCTTTCTACTTTATGGGGAAGCGTTTCCCCAAAGGGGAAGTTCTTTCAGGCGGTCTGTCCTCCTGTCTTGAATGGAGAGAGCTACCGCTGAGTCACCCATAGAAACCTCTTGTGTTGAAACTGGTCCTGTGCCTCGTGCTGATTAATGAATTACAAATCTCTCCCCCCCCCCCCCCCCGCACTCAGGCTGACATTAAGAACAAGAATGACAAACTTTGTGAACTTGCGGGGGGGGGGGTGGGAAAGGCCAGCTCCAAGTGCTCTCGACTCGGAGCTGGTGCCCTGGCACGCCGAGCCGTGCCCTCCCTGAGAGGGGGAAGAGGGGGGCCCTAAGCCACTTAGTCACCTGCTGCACCGAAGGCCCCAGCCCAAGCTTGGAGAATGGGGAAAGCGGCCGGGACAATGGGGAGGCGTGGGGCGGGCTGCCCAGACAAAGGGAGGCAGGAAAAACCCATCACTTGTTGGGAGCCCAGCTCACTAGCACCGGGGGGAATGTGTCACTACGTTGATTTGGGGGGAGGCAGTCAGAGATGAAAGCATGGACTAGGGATGGTGCGGAGGGAGGAGATGGGCAGTGATGGGGGCTAGTTCACAGGAGCCTGGAGGTGGAGACTGGCAGCGGGACAGGGGTCCGACAGACAGCAAATACTTTAGGGAGTCTAAGCCAGAAAGGGACCTATTCAGCACCCCCTCCCTTCTCTTCTTCCCTAGTGTTTGCAGACTGTCTATTGCCCTCCCTCCTCCAACTCCCCCTCCCCCCGGAGGCCCGGGGTGGTACCGCAGCCTCGCCTCACCTCACCCACCCACCGCCCCCCCCCACTCGATGCTGTGGGAGAGAGAGAAGCCCTCCCCTCCCTCCCTCTCCCCCCTCCTCCCCCCACCCCCGGGGAGGGCCGCTACAATTTGTGGTTACAGCCTTACACGTCAGAAAAGAAAAAAAAAAGTTTGTAGAATGTCCCACACCGAAAAAAAAAATCCGAAACCCAGAGAAAAAAACCTGCGAGTGGGCTTGGCGGATGGGATTAGTAAGGCTTCGCCAGAGCTGCGGCTCTCCCTCCCACTCCGCCAGCCTCCGGGAGAGGAGCCGCGCCCGGCCCCTGCCCGGCCCCCAGCCCCATGGACCTCCGAGCAGGTAGGAAGAAGCCGGGCCCCCCCATCTCCTCCACCACCGCCACCCCCGCCCTCACCTCGAGATCCGCTTTCCCGTCCTCCCCCCGGGGGACTCCTGAGGCCGGGGCCAAGCCCCCTACCTCCTCTGTCCCCCTCCTTCCCACCCCCCCCCCCGCCTCTAGATCTGCTTCCCTTCCCAACCCCCGGGGGATCCCGAGGCTGGAGCTGGCCTCCGGGAGCTGCCCCCATCAGCGCCAGTGGGGACCGTGGCATTCCAAGAGTCCTCGTCTCGGCGGGGCGGGGAGGTGGGAAGAGGGAGAGAGCCCGGGACAGACAGACGGACTGACGGACGGACGGCGAGCAGACGGCCAGCCGGCCAGCGGACGGACGGACAGACAGACTCGGAGGGAAGCAGCAGCCACCCGCACAAAGGAGAGAGGAGCCGAGCCCGAGAAAGGGAGCCCGCGTTAGACACGCAGAGAGCCCCGGACCGAGCAGGAGGAGCCCGAGCGAGACGAGGGCGGGGAGAGACCGCCACCCTCGGAGACCCAGACCGAGACAGAGACTGGGACCGAGACGGAGAGCTAAGCAGAGACAGAGACAGAGTCAGAGTCAGAGACAGAGACAGAGAAAGGGGGGAGACACAAGACTCGTAAGAGACGCTAGCGAGAGAGCGGGAGGGAGAGAGAAGGGGAGAGAAGGGAAGAGGGGGAGTTGGAGAGAGGAAGAGGGAGGGGAAGGGGAGAGGGGGGAGCCCGAGACAGGGCCGGAGGGAGGGAGGGAAGAGAGGGGGAGGCCAACACCTCGCTCGGACTCCGCCGCTCTCCCTCGTTCCCCTGCCGCCCCCGCCGCCGCTGCGCCCATCCTGGGGAGCCGGGCTGGGCTTGGCTGGGCCGGGCCGGGCCGCTAGGACTCGGCGCCTCTTCTCTGGGCCAGGGCGCGCGCGGAGCTGAGCGCAGCTCCGGCTGGACCCCACGATGCTCCCCGTGGCCGGGGAGCCGGCAGGTAAGGGGGAGCCGGGCCAGGCAGAGCCGGCCAAGCTAAGGGGGCCAGAGCGGATGCTGACTGAGCGGGATGCCCGGCGGTCCCCGCCCCCGGCCTCAGCCGGCCCAGGCGGACTCAGGCCGGCCCGGCCCGGCCCAGCCCCGTCTTGGCCTGGGAGTGATTAGTGGAGGGGGCGGGGGCGGCCCAGCCGGACCCGGGCAGGAAAAAGCCCGTCACGGGCCGGGGGAGCGGCCGGCGGGAGACTTTCCGCTTTGCGGCCAAGGGACTCAGCTAGTCCTCAGCCCCGGGGGAGGGCAGGGGTGGGGAGGGGAGGGAACCGCTCCGTCTTGGCCGCGCCTGGAGGTGGGAACTCGCCACGGGAGGGGGAAAGGGCATCTCTCGGCTCCAGAGACTCCGTCTGTACCCCTGACCCCGCCCCCGCCGCTGGGAAGGGAGAAGCTCCCAAGAGTAAGGGGGGGGTGGAGTGGGGGCGGGGCCGGGGGCTTAGGGGCCACACAGGGGGAAGGAGGCGCCGCGGGGGGAGGAGGACGGGAAGAGCAAGGTCACTGCTTTAGGGTTCGGGCTGAGAAAGTAGGACCTTCATAAGCCCCCCCCACCTCATTTCCTCATCCTCGAGTACTCCTCTAAACCCCACCCCAGGGACGCCCAGAAAACTTTCCCCAAGAACTCTCCGGTCAACACACATAAGTATCTCCCCGACCTTCTCCGTTCCCCCCCTCCCCGCCTTAGTGCCTCCCACGCAGTTAGCCTCCACCCCAGCTCCTGAGCGTTCTTCCTCTCCCTGCCTGTAGACCCCCGAGGTTTTCCCCAACTTCTCCAGGTCAGACAACCTCTCCTCCTCTCCCTTCCCCCCGAGCCAGCACACCAGCACTGACTAATTCCCACGGAGGCCCCTCCCCTTCGCTGGGCCCCCTCCCTCACAGCGTCAAAAGTCCCACCGAAGCCCGTCGTCCTTCTCCAACCGACTGTTAGTTTCTCCCTCTGGTGGGAAAGGGAAGTTTGTGAAAAGGGAGCGAATAGCTGGGCTAGCCGTCGGCTAGGAACAAGGCACCTCATAGAGAAGGGGCCAGCTGGGCCACCCACAGCAGGCAGGCAAGGAGCCACCCGGAGATGATGCACGGCAGGCATTCCCGTGGCCGTGCCCGGTACAGTCCGTGCCCCCAGACAGCCGGCCGTCAATCCTCCCAATGCCCTGCGATAGCCGGCCGTCAGAGCTAACAATGGAGTTGTACGCCAAGTCCCAAGTGCGGGCAGACGAAGGCCGGCCTTCCCTGGCCGCCCCGGCCCATCCGCACCGATGGCCTTGCTTTCGGGCCTAGCTCAATGGCTCGGGCCGCAGGTCCACGGCGTGGAGCTGAGCCTTTCACCCCGCCCCCAATTCTTACCATTCACAAGCAGCTCTCCCACACAGCAGGCTTCCTCTCCATTCACTGCTCCTTCCCATTCCTCTGCATAATTCCACTTGACTATTCACACTTTCCCTCTCCTCCCTTCATTCTCATTTCCCACCCTCATCACTGAGATGGCACCGCCTTGGAACTCTCCGGGGCACTGCCTTCGCCCCGAGTCCTTTCCTTGGGACCCTCCGGGTCTTTCCTGCTCCTTCTCCGGGGGCTGGACCACACCTCCGTCCGTATAGGCGCATAGGCACAAACTGCTTCATACTTAATGCAGGTAGAAAAGAACCTTGTTAATTTCTTCTCTGCCACTCATTTTCCTGGGCCATGGACTTGCCCACCTTTTTCCATGTGGGCCTTAGTTTCCCCTCTGAAGCCCAGACCCATTGACCTCTTTACTCAAGGCCAAGGAAAGAGAAGGGAAAGGAATGAGAGCTTCAGAGGAGGGAATAGGGGAGAGAAGATCTCTGAGGAAAAGGACAGAAGAGAGCAGCAGAAGGTGACACCAGCAGGAAGGGGCAGGGGCTGTCTGCCCACTCTTCCTTTTGCTGCCAGCCGAGGGAATCACACAAAGGTGGTAGATGGAGGGGGATGAGGGCTGTGTTGGGAATCAGATGTTCTGTTTGAATCTAGCTTTGCAGTCCCTAGGGAAATCATGTGGTCTCTTTGGGTCTCAGTTTCTTCCTCTGTAAAATGAGGGGGTGGGGACTAGGTAATCTTTTCCATCCTTTTTCCTGTTCTTCATGAATTAGGAACAGCCACAGCCTTTTAAAAGGGCCTTCCTCGGGCACCTTAGGTCACTTGGTTATGCTCAACACTTGTCTGGGAGTCCCCAAATAAGGTCCTTTCCAGATTTTTAACGGGTGCAAAGGAATCCTCCAGCCCACTGTAAATGTTTTATGTTGGAGGCCTCTCTTGATGTCCCATTCGGATGGGGAGCTCTATCCTATAGGTCCCTGATGGTGCAGAGGCCCCAACCAGGGCTTTCCTCCCCATCCCTGACCTCCATGGCATGTCGGGGCCTCCAAGCTCCCCCCAGACACACTGGGTGAGGTCAGGCTGAGGGCTGCAGGCCAGGGACTGTGGGGGCTGCTGGCCCAAGGCTTGTGTACACGTGTGTGCCTGCGTGTGCAGCCGTGTGGGGTGGCCGTGCGCTTGCGTGGGCTGTGTGGATGTGCGGATGTGCTCGGGGCCCTCCGTTCCCAGGGCCCAGGGATCTGGATGAAATTAGGGGCCTGGCTGGGTGGGGGCCAGGGTGGAGGTTGAGGGAGGGGGTGCTCCAGCAGGAAACCTGAGCTGGCTCATTAGCTCCTCACGTGCTCCGCTGGATTTATAAACACAGGGAGGAGACGGGATGTAAACAATCAGGCAGTGGCAGCCAGAGGCAGGGCTGGGGAGGGGAACCAGAACTGGGGGAGGGGGGGGCCACAGTACCCCACATAGATGGCCAAGGCCCCCCTACCCCAGAGAGCAGGGGCTTTTCCCTCCCACCCACCCTCTTCTCGGAGAAGCATACTTGGGGTGCTTTGCAGAGGGCCTCAGGGCCAACTCTAGGTGCCATCACACCCGTAGTGGGAAGACCTGGGGCGAGCTGCAGGAAGGTTCTGTTCTCAGAAGCAAGGCTTCCTGGCTTTCTAGCCCTCAACTGGACACCACAGGTGTTCTCAGCCCCTCCCAACATCCATCTTCCTGCCTTTGCGATGGAGAGAGGAGGTCATGTTTAGACCCCATCCCCAGAACTGGGGGAGGTGGGAGAGGGCCAAGTCTCCCTTCCAGTTCCTGCTCCTCTCCCACTAGATTCCCAAGCTTCCTGCCCTCTCCCTGATTTTCTCCATCATATCCCCTGCTCCCCCCCTCCCCGCCAGCAGTGACACAGTTACCTCAGAACTGAAATATTCCTGGAAACACCGGCCTCGTCTGGTTAATTTCATGAGCCGTTTTCTGCCCAGATGAGGGTTCTTGTTTATTCAAAGGCATCTTCCCTGGTGGGGGGGTAGGGAGGGCGGTTCCCTGAAGGATGCCCCGAAGGGCCCCTAAGTAGCATGGAGAGCAGGGCTCTGAGCATGAGTGTGACCTGAGGGCTAAGTCACCCCTTTAGGACAGCAAGCCCAGCTCCAGAGGGGGCTAACAGGGAAGGGTGAAGGCTGTTCTTTACAGCTTTCAAATAAGGAAATGCTGGACATCTGGGCCAATCCTCTTACTTTACAAATAAAGAAACTGAGACCTGAGAAGTGACGGGACTTAACCAAGCCCACAACACCATTGCAGGCCCAGCCTTCTGACCCCAAGCCCAGTGTTCTTGTGCTGTTTCCTAACAGAAGGAAACTATGTGTTCTAAGCAATTGGAGCAGCCTGCCTCAGGAAGCAGTAGGGAGGTCCATCTGAGCAGGTTGAAATGCCTCTTGGGGATACTATGGAGGGATGGGCCCCAAGGTCCAGCTGTGGAATTTAGCAGAGGGGAGAGAAGGTGCTGTGCAAGGCAGCTGCTAGAACCGGGGGCAGCAGAAGCTGCAGGAGGCAAAGGGAAATCTAAGGAAATGGGAGCAGGTCCCGCGCTCCAGTCTGCGTAATCGGGGTCACTCCCCCGGAGGCCCGCCTGTAGATAAGGTCCAGAGATTATCAGCAGGGCCTCCGCCCCACAGTGCCCCCAAGACAGCTACAACATGACCCCTTCTCTGAAGATGAAGGCAGGCACCCAAACTGGTGCAGAAGCCCCAGGCAGCCCACCTCCCCCACTACCGTGATCACAGCCAAGAGCTTGGCCCCTCCCTCGCTGTGGCGACAAAGCCTGGGTAGAAGTGACTCCGTCTCCACACGCCAACAGCCTCCCACAGGCACGGCAGGTAGGCTGTGCAAGTATTGTTAGTAACATTTCAAAAAGGAGAATACTGAAGCTAAGAGAAGGAGAAGTTACCTATCCAAGGTCTCGAAAATTTGAAGGGAAAAAGGGGCCTGAGAGGCGAACTTTCCAGAAGCAAGCCCAGAGCTCTGCCCACTTTCACCCTGGGTCTCCAACACAGCCCAGCCCTAAGTGGCAGCCCTGCCTGCCTCAAAGCCAGGGCATCCAAAGTGCCCACAGCTCCATCCTTGGCACTGGCCCAGTCCAAACCACAAACCCACCTAGGGCCTGTGCCCTAAACCCAACCCAACCACTGACTCTGCTCCGCTTTCATCCCTCTCCTAGCCTTAAACCTGACAAGAAATCCGGGCCGCTACCAGCCCTAACCTTGCCCACTGCTGAGTCTGACCCAACCACCGGCTGGAATCCCATTTCAGCACCAGCCCTGAAACCAAACCAGCCCTAATCCAGTCCGAACACACTAGAGCCCTACTCATCTGGGGCTACTTCACCCTAGCTCTTGGATATGATTCAGCCCAGTAAAAATAGGGTAGTGGATCATGTGTCCTGACGAGAGCATGCTCCTAGGAAAGCCAACCTCTTCCCCCAGAGCCTCCAAACCTTCTGGAGATCACCAAGGACTCGGGCTGGTGTCACCACTGGTTTCCACCCTGACAGACACTGGGCACTGACCACTGGGGAGCCCCTCTGACTCAGACCTATTGGGCACCCCCATTCAGAATGAGTACCCGATGTGCCTGGAGACGTCCTCCAGCCCACCCCACCCCATAACCTCTAAGGCAGCCAGGTTCTAGAACCGGAGCCCATGCTCCCCATCTGTAGCCAAACCCTTGGCAACCCAAAGCCAAAAGCACAATCAGGAGGCTGCTTTCACTTTCTCTCCTGAGTTCAGGTCTCCAGGAAGGCTGGCTCCCTTGCTCAGCCCCAGGGCAGAACTGTGAGCATGGTCAAGGCCAAGGCCGCAAGACCTTCAAGACCCAAGTCACATGCTTTCCCCACATGGTACAGACAGGGAAACTGAGAAACGGACAGGGTCCAGACATTGATGAGGACAGAAATGGAATCCAGGATCTCTGGCCCCCAGATAAGAATCCCTTCTTTGTCCTCACCCTAGGGCTGCCCCCTCTCATCCACATTAATGCAGAGGCTCTGACACGTGGGCCAAACACATTTTTAAGCTAACACCCCGTCATGAGGTCACAAACCAAAGTCATGAACATAAATGTGCACACACGCACACACACACACACACACACACACACAACACACACACACACACACACACACACACACACACACTCTCACTCTCATACTCTGACAATGGGCCAGAAACCCTTCCCATCCTTCATCCCTCTCAGTCTCCCATCTGGTACCTCCTTTCCTTCCCTTCCCAGCCAGAGGTGGGGTCAGACACCTGAGGGGCCACCAGCTGTCTCCCTGCCCTGGAGGCCAGCTCCCCACCCCCCACTTCAGGCTCTCTCTCAGTCCCTCTGTTGCCCACAGGGGACTCGTGGGGGATGCTGGCTTGTCTGTGCACCGTGCTCTGGCACCTTCCTGCTGTTCCAGCCCTCAACAGAACAGGGGATCCAGGGCCCGGCCCCTCCATCCAGAAAACCTATGACCTCACTCGGTACCTAGAACACCAGCTTCGCAGCCTGGCTGGGACCTATGTGAGTATCTGGGGGAACCTGGCCTGGGGAGGGGTGGGGTGGAGATGATGGGCAAGGTTTCTCTAGCCCCCAGCATCCTCTTGCCTGGCCTTTCTCCTTCTCCCCTTGGCTTCCCCCTCCCTTCCCCATTCCCGGCCCCAGGACTAGGCATGTGGGCAGGACTGCCCCACTGGCTGCCAGCCCAGCCGCCCGCCCTCCTCCCCCTGGGGGCTGGGGAAGTCTCTTCTGTTTACACCGTGTTGTGGTGTCTCTTGCACGGGTGGGGCCCAGGGTGGGGGCGGCCCCCACCTCACACGCCTGTGTCCTGGCTCGCCCCGGCCTCTGAACGCTGGGCCCTGCAGTCTAGGCCTCCCCTCTGTCTGACCTCCCCCATCCCAGCTGGGCCTCTTGGGGGGTCACATGGTAGGGGAACCAGTAGGGAACCCAGATTGTTGGTGGGTACCCCAGGAATCCTTTCAGAGGAGGTGGTTGGAGGGGGCCTGAGGAGAAGGTGGTGCTGCAGGGAGCTAGCCCCCTTTCCTCTTCTTCCTCCCCCACACCCCAACCCCTGCTCCAGAGCCAGGGAAGGGAAGGGGAGGAGGGCGGAGGGGGAGCTGGCTCAGGCCCCAGGATACACCGAGGAAATTAGTTTGTCTCTGAGCTTGTCAGCGTGTGAACCTCCCCCCGGGGGCCCTTGCCTGTCCCAAGCCTCGCCCCCCCCAGCTCTTCCCAGCTGAACACCGCTTCCCCACCCCTTCCCCTGGGCCCCTGGACCTACCCCGCAGTTGGCAAATGCTCGGGTCACATCTCATCTCTCCTGCGCCCCCACCCCCTGTCCCCTCTCTCCTTCCCCCACCCCTGGCATTCATGTGGGGAGTTGGTAAAAGGTGCTCTGCCCTCCGCCCCCTCCCCCTTCTGCTGGAAGGGCCAGAGACGCTGGGGGTAGAGGGAAGTGGGCATCTGGTGGAGACAGATGAAGAGGCCCGGGTGGGCAGGGGGGTGGGGGGGCTCTGATGGGCTTGTTTCCTTCTGTCTTCCTTCCAACAGGCACTGCTCCCCTCTTCTGAAAACCTCTGCTTGCCTCTGCTGCCCCTTTCGCTCCGACCTATTTCTCGCCTCCCTCTGGCTGCCAAGCCTCTCCAAGGAGTGGTCTACACCCCCTGCCTCCGCTTCCTCTCCACCCACTCACTCCTTAACCCCCTGCGATCTGACTTCCCCTCTCCTGACTCCATTCTCTCTGAGGTCAGCCAGGATCTCCTTCTTGCCCAGGCAGGGCTCCCTTCTCCCGATTCCGTGCTGCCTCGTCTGTGCGTGTGCGGCCGGGTATTCTGGAAGCTTCTTCCTGGGCTCGGGTACTCTCCCGGGCCTTCTCCCTCTACTATTCCTCCTCCTGTGGCTTTCCACCGTTGATTTTCCTTCCTCTCCACATCTGTGGGCTTTCCCCCTAGACTCAACCAATCATTCACCAAATATTTACTGAGCATCTACCATATGTAAATCCCTCTACTTTCTGCTCTCTGCACACGCCTCCCTGGAGAGCTCCCCCATTGCTAATGTTTTGACTGTGGCCTCGATGTGGAGGACATGGAGGGGGCCCTCCCCTCCCTAGCAGCGTAGGAAGTACCTCACTGTGTGGGGCACTAGCCCAGGGTCCCAGGGGGGCAGGCAGCTGGGGGGCATCCCCTCTGAGAGCTGGCCCTACCGCCCTCTCCCTCCCACAGCTGAACTACCTGGGCCCCCCTTTCAACGAGCCTGACTTCAACCCGCCCAGGCTGAGCGCTGAGGCCCTGCCCAGCGCCACAGTGGACTTTAACGTGTGGCGAAGCCTCAACGATCATCTGCGGCTGGCTCAGAACTACCAGGCCTACAGCCACCTGCTCTGCTATCTGCGGGGCCTGGACCGCCACGCGGCCACGGCCGAGCTGCGCCGCAGCCTGGCCCACTTCTGCACCAGCCTGCAGGGCCTGCTGGGCAGCATTGCGGGGGTCATGGCCGCCCTGGGCTACCCACTGCCCCCGCAAGGGGCTGAGCCTTCCTGGGCCCCCAGGCCTCCCCACAGCGACTTCCTGCAGAAGATGGATGACTTTTGGCTGCTGAAGGAGCTGCAGACCTGGCTCTGGCGTTCTGCCAAAGACTTTAACCGGCTCAAGAAGAAGATGCAGCCCTCAGCTGCCGCGGTCACTCTGCGCCTGGAGGCCGCTGCTTCTGACCTCTGACCTCCCTTCTCTGCCTGCCTCCGCAATGAGCTTCCCGCCCTCCGCCCTCCGAGGGAGGATCCCCCAGGGGCTTCTCACAGGGAGCAGCGCAATAAAGCCCAGGGCCAGGCAGGAGAGTGGACAGCCCTCGGGCCCGGGCTCCCCACCTTCCCAACCTGGCCGCCAGGAAGCAGCAGTCGGAGGAGGAAAGGTGAGGCTCCCTGCAGGAAGTGCCTTGCGGGGGCGAAGCCTCCTGGCTAGCCCTGCTCTCCCATCTCCTCACCTTAAGCCACCTCACACTTCCAACCGGGGGAGGGGCATGTGGTGACCCAGGGACCAAAGCAGGAAGAGGCAGGAATTCAACAAGGGAATTGGTGGGACAAGGCAGGGCCCTGGGGGATACCCTCTCACCAAAAGCCACAGTGATGCCAAACATGTTGAGTGTCAATAACTTTGCCTCACGTTTCTCCTTCACGTCACGGTGGCTCCCCCCTCCCAGGGCACCCTGCCCAGCCCCAGTGGGACAGCCACAGCCACAGAATTTCCTAAAAGTTTACATTGTTGAGGACGGTAGCATTTTGGGGATGAGGAGAGGGTGGCCCCCTCAGGGCCTGCCGCCCTCCCCAGCCCCATCCACTCACGACTCTCAGTTTGTTTGTATTAATATTTATTTATTTGGAAACGTTATTTATTAGATGGTATTTATTGCAGAATTTCTATTCTTGTATTAACAAATAAAATGCTTTCCCCAGAACTTTCCCCTGCTCCCTGCCTTGCCTCATCTCCCCTTTACCCTGACCATCCCTGCCCCCCCTTCATTCCTGGTTCCTGCTCCTCTGTTCAGTTGTTTCTGACTCTTCATAACCTTATTTGGGGTTTTCCTGGCAGACGTACTGCAGCGGTTTGTCACTCACTTCTCCAGCTCATTTTATAGGCAAACGGTGTGAAGTGACTTGCTCAAGGTCACACAGCAACTAAGTGTCTGAGGCCAGACTTGAGTTCAGGAAGAGTCTTCCTGACTCCAGGCCTGGCGCTCTGTGCACTGTGGCACCCCCCTAGCTGCCCTCTTAGTCCTCTAGGTCTGTCTGTAAGTGTTAGAAACGATCCAGGGCTCAAGAAACTTGGGGTGGCAAGGGAGGGGAAGAAGAGAAATTTGGGAAATGTTGGGGGAGTGGGGCTAGAATCCCCTTCCTCTGTCTGTGAAACTAAATGCATATTGATTAAGCATCACCTTGCGGCACAGCACTGTTCTAGGTGCCAGCTGAGACCCAAAGCTTTAGGTCAAGTTACAGCCCCCCCCCCCCACCCATCGAACTTACGAGAAGGATGAGGGACAAAACACAGACAGAACACATGACATCAGAGAGGTGGTGATCTAAGAGGGCTTCAGGAAGGGGGTGACCAAGAGGGCTGTTCTGACCCAGAGAAGGACCGAAGGGCACAGAGGGAAGAGAGCTCAGAGTGTGCTCAGCGGAGGGCAGCAGGGGGCATATGGGGAAAAACAGAAGAAGACTGAAGAAGAACCTAATTTGCTACCTTTGACCTTGAGGAAGTCTCGTTTTTTTCTGTGCCTCAGTTTCCCATCTCTAAAGTGAGGGATTTGGACTACGTGATGATTGAGGGACCTCCCAGCTCTAGCACTAAGATCCCACAAAGTAAGATGATGCCAGCTTGGGGAGGTATCTGGACTCCAGACAAAGGAGTCTGAATTTCCTTCCGGAGGCAGCCACGAGGGATTTGGAAAGCAAAGGAGCAGAGTGAGCAGACCTATATGCATTAGAAGGATTGTTCTGGCAGTTGTAGAAAGGATGGCTTGGAGGCATAGATGGAGATGGGAAGACACGCCCGGATGGATGGCAATGAGGGCCCACAGAGCAAGGTAGCCGTGAGGAGCAACTGTCAGGGATGGCCCGGAGAAAGAACTGGCCAGTCTTGGTAGACAGGAAATGTGGGGTGGGGGTGGGGAGAGGAGCCCAGGATGGCGCCACGGGGAGAAATGGGAGGTCTGAGAAGGAGCAGGCCCAGGGCAACGCCGAGTCCAGTTTGGGCCATGGCGAGATGGAGGGTGCAGGGGGACGTCCAAGGAAACGTGTGCCCTGGGCAGGAGGAGATACACATCTTGAGCTCGGAGAGAAGTCAAGTTGAGAGCTTTCGGCTTGGGAGACATCTGCACAGAGGCGGTAGTTGATAAGGGAGGGAGGGAGGCTGCCAAGGGTAAAAAAAGAATGTAGAAACAGAAGGGAAGAGGGCCAAGGACAAAACTTTGGGGAACACCCATGTACAGGGATTGGGAAGAGAAGGAGGAGGAGCCAGCCACGGAGGCTGAGAAGTAGTTACCACGGAGGAGAAAAACCAAGGGAATGGGGTGTCTCTGAAACCGAGGCAGGAGAGGACAGCCCGAAGGAGGAAGTGAGGGTCGGCACTCACAGGTGCTTTGGAGAAGGCAAGGAGGATGAGCATTGCAAAAAGATGGCTCAAATGGCAGGCATGAGGTCACCAAACAGAAAACTGAGTGCAGACTGCTGGGAGAGGGTAGACAGGCACCAGGGGAAGACAAAGGAGGTCAGTCGTGGAGGAGAAACTGGCCATTATCCCCAATTTGACTGCCTAGTGTGTCCTACTATCTGCTTCTGCAGGGTTTGGGTCCTGAACATTAGTGGCCTCTGTGGCTTCTAGACATGGCTAGAGGTTAGAGGCAAGGGGAATGGGGCAGCAGCAGAGGAATGCCAAGCCCCCAGTGGGCCTCCGGTCTCCTTCACACATACACGTTCAGATGTACGGAGCAGCTGAGATCAGTGGTGGAGGTGTGTTCTAGATCACACCCTATGTCCTCCTAGCACAGGGCATTTTCTCCATCTGTTATCACATGTCATCCTGGTAACTGCCCCTACCAGGTAGTCTAGGCAGACATTAGCATTCTGTTTTACCTGAAGCCACAAAAGGAGAAGCAATTTGCCTACAGTCATACAGCATGCTAAGAAGCAGAGCTAGAAAGGTAAGAGTCTTGTGGGGGGAGGGGAGGAGGAGAAATACTGAGAGACCTGGGGCCAGATGCCCACCTTCGCCCTCTGGCTTCTGCCCTCTGCCCTTGTTCTTCCCCGGCTGTTCTTCAGAGTTGCTCATGAGCTCTTAATGGCCCCTTTGGGACCTCACTGCCCATCGCTTCTCTTCCCAGACATTCCTCCCTCTCCAGGTTTCTGTACCATTCTCCTGGTTCACCTCCTACTTCTCTGAGCACCCTTTCTGGCCTCTTTGAAGTCTCTCCCTCTTGGTGATGCCTCCTGGCCAATCCTCTCTCCCAGGCCCTCTTCTTTCTTCCTTTATTCTGTAGCCATTGCTGAGCTCATCACCTCCCATGGATTCACTGATCTCCCTGAAGATGATTCCCAGAGCTATATGTCCAGCCCCACTCTCCCTCCCAAGGTCCAAACCTCCCACTGGATGTCCTGCAAGCATCTCAAACTCACATCAACATGTCCAAATCATAACTCATTCTCTTTCCCCCGAAACCCTCTTCCTCTTCCCCACTTTCCTATCACTCTCAAGGCTACCATCATCTTCCCCCTCATTCAGGCTTGGAGTCTTGCTGCGTCCTTACTCCTCACACTCTCTCACCCCATGTATCAGTCTGGTGTCAAAGCTGATCCTTTCTACCTTCCCAATATCTTGGACATACAGGTCTTCTCTCCACCCATGCAGCCAACCTTGTATATGGGCCCTCACCATCTCTTCCCTGGACCACTGAAAGAGCCTTCTGATTAGTCTTTGCCTCCAGTTGCCTCCCTCTTCAATCCAGCCTCTATTCGGCTCCCAAAGTGAGCATCCTGTTCGGGTAGGAGCACATCACTCTCTGATTCAGTAAATTCTAGAGGTTCCCTATTCCCCACAGGATCCACTACAGAAGCTTGCTTGGTATCTAAAGCCCTTCCCAGCCTGTTCCCTGCCTGTCTTTCCAGTCTTCTCAACACTGAGGTCCCCTCTGCAAATCCTGGAATCGGCTACCCTGGCCCCCCCCCCGCTCTTCCTCACACACAATACCCATCCATGGGCGCCACACTGAAATGCTCCCGCTCCAAACTTCCCTGGCTGCCTTCAGAACAGCCCAGATCACACCTTGATGGCCCAGCCCACTTCACCTCTAATGCTACCTGCAGCCTGCCCCCTGCTGCCCCTGCCATTTGCCTGGTTACATGTCTTGTCTGTACGTAGTGATTTCTATGCTGTCTCTCCCAGTAGAGTGTGAGATCGGGCACTGGGTTTTGGCCTCTCTCTGTATCCCCAATACTTAGTGCCATGCCAGGCATATAGTAAGCACTTAATAAATGCTTGTTGCGTACTGACCTCAGACCAGTCACTTCCCTTCCTCTAGGATTCAGTTTCTGCATCTGCAAAATGAGAAGGCTGCATTGAATGACCTATAGGCTCCCTTCCAACTACATGCACACACTCCCAGGACTTCTGAGGCCCCTTCCAGCTTTAAACCTTCGATTCCATGATGAACTTCACTTCGAACTTGTGTTCCATTGGACCGTACTAGCCAGTGTGGTGCCAGGCTCAGATGGTAGGGCCAACTGTAGACAAGAAAGGTATGGACTAGCAAAAGAGAAGGAACAGCTTCTTCTGCACACAGTTGTTGCTTAATAAATGTACAGGTCGTAGACCTGATCTTGACCTCCATTTCCAAACTATTATCTTGCCTCATCTTAAGCCCTACCCTCAGTTGTAAGCAGAGGAGAATAAGGGAGAGTAAGCATGGGAGTGTATGGACACTCCTGAGGCAGACCCCTGGAAAACCAGGGCACTCTATTGGGTGTCACAGCTGCCCTCAACCTAGTGGCTGAGCCTGCCTTGGCCCCCAGCCCCACCCACAGGGACTTCCTCCAGGGATGAAGGATCTCCAGACTGCTAGAGGAAGGAGAAAGGCCAGTTTAAGGCAAAAATAAGCAGTCTTCCCCACCTCCAGCTCCGTAAATACTCCTTTGCCGTCTTAGCTGACCCCTACATCAAATCAGTCTCTAGTCCTGTGGAGTCTTCCTTCTAATCTCTCCGATGCACTTCCTCTTTTTCCTTCCCATGGCCCTAGCCTGGCCCCTCTTCAGCTTCTGATGGTACAGTTTTCATCTTCCGGGAAGCTGGAAGGATGTGTTCTTCCAGCCTCTATGAGGGCTGGGCTGATGCCATCCTACACCTGATCCCAGGTAATACTACTAAAGGATTTTCATCCCATCCCAAGGGGGGCTCACACAACCTTGAATGGCTCCCCACCGTCTACAGGATCACGTCCCAAGCCCTCAGCTTGGCAGTCCAAGGCGCTTAACCCTTTGGCACCAACCTTGTTTTCCAGTTTAACCTCGCCACCCTGAAGGAGCCTTGCTCATTCCTTCCACTAGCCCTGGTTTGTCTGACTTCCACCTGTCCTCTTCCTCCCCCTCATCATGAGAGCCAGCTGAAATCTCCCCTTCTCTGACCAGACCGACCGGTGATGATTTCCCCTTTAGCTTGGAGGAGTCTGAACTGTCTTCCATATGCTCCATCACGTGCTACTTTGCTTATTTACTTATTTACTCTCAAGTGCTTGAGAAAGGGAAGGGCTAAGAAATTATGGTTAGCTCTGACCATGGGCCCACACTTATATTGCAGAGGTCAGCACAGAAGGGTCAAATGAAGTTTTTCAAGAATCTGGGAGACATGTTTATTTCTGGGCAGGAAGGAAGACATCACAAGATGCAGACAATTGGGAAGGTGGGT